GGACGTAAATTTGCCTAGAAAAACCACACAACAGCCAGGGGTTGTTGGGGTTGGTTCTGCAACGTCCTGTAAAGGATACGCAACTAACCTAACCTAGCCCTATATGCCCACTACGCAAAAAAGAATGGACCAGAACCTTTCACTTTACATTATATATGGCTTTGATTTCATCACGGCCTTCTCTATTTATGCCCAGTCAATATAAAAGCAATAGTTTTCTTCCAACACAAGATAGTTTGCACCTGTTTGTAACTGTCGATATTCTCTAGAAATGGCTTCTAAATTACCTGTTTGTATTTTCCCCAAAAGTAAGATTTCTACATTCAAATTGAAAAAAGAATAAACAGCCAGTTCCCAAAAAATCAAAACTACTGACTAGAAACAGTGAGACACACATCACAACACGACTGTCTCCCGTGAATTAAAATTAAAATTGCTGTAATCTAACAGCAAAGTTTGAAAATTGTGTATATCCACTTCACAATATCCGCTTGTCGATTTGTAATACGAATACGTTTAGAAAACAGGACTTTGCAAGCATAATAAAATGTCACACAATGCAACACGGAAACGCTTCCAGTAACCAATTTGCCAGGGGACTCCGCCAAAATGTACCGTGATTTAGTCAGAAGGACCTACATATACAGAAGGACCTACATATACAGAAGGACCTAGATTTCATCTCGGGTTTGACAGAAATGTCGACATATGGTTTAACATATATTTTTAACCTCTTCCGTGGAAATGAAATAGTTAAACGACATAAGGCTCGACTCTGTATGCATGTGTAACGAGCCCAAACTACAGTGAATTACCAGTGACGGATATTAACAGCGGGTTCTTAAAATTACAGCTTCATATTTTATTCTGTCATTCAATTGCTTCCTGTTAAGGACTGATTGTGAAATTTGTAATTGAAGAGCATTAGTATATTTCTCAAAGTTTGCATTATAATCCTTAACTCCTGTTGAGAACATTTTGGTTTTGGTTTTTTGTTCAATATTTCATTTTTCTTTCTTTCTTTCTTTCTTTCTTTCTTTCTTTCTTTCTTTCTTTCTTTCTTTCTTTCTTTCTTTCTTTCTTTCTTTCTTTCTTTCTTTCTTTCTTTTCTTTTTTCTTTCTTTTCTTTCTTCTTTCTTTCTTTTCTTTCTTTCTTTCTTTCTTCTTCTTTCTTTTCTTTCTCTTCTTTCTTTCTTTTCTTTTTCTTTCTTTCTTTCTTTTCTCTTTCTTTCTTTCTTTTCTTTCTCTTTCTTTCTTTCTTTTCTTTCTTTCTTTCTTTTCTTTCTTTCTTTCTTTCTTTCTTTTTTCTTTCTTTCTTTCTTTTTTCTTTCTTTCTTTCTTTCTTCTCTTTTCTTCGCCTTGTTCTTTCTTCCCCTCTTTCTTTCTTTCTTTCTTTCTTTTCTTTCTTTCTTTCTTTCTTTCTTTCTTTTCTTTCTTTCTTTCTTTCTTCTTTCTTTCTTTCTTTCTTTTCTTTCTTTCTTTCTTCTTTTTCTTCTTTCTTTCTTTCTTCTTTCTTTCTTTCTTTCTTTTCTTTCTTTCTTTCTTTCTTTCTTTCTTTCGTTCTTTCTTTCTTTCTTTCTTTCTTTTCTTTCTTTCTTTCTTTCTTTCCTTTCTTTTCTTTCTTTTCTTTCTTTCTTTTCTTTCTTTCTTTCTTCTTTCTTTCTTTCTTCTTTTTCTTTCTTTTCTTTCTTTCTTTCTTTCTTTCTTTTCTTTCTTTCTTTCTTTCGTTCTTTCTCTCTTCTTACTCCTTTCTTTCTTTCTTCTTTCTTTTCTTTCTTTCTTTCTTCTTCTCATTTTCTTTCTTTCTTTCTCTTCTTCTTCTTCTTCTCTTCTCCTTTTCTTCTTCTTCTTCTTCTCTTCTTCTTACGCTCTTCTTCTTCTTTTCTTCTTCTTTCTTCTTCTTCTTCTTCTTCTTCTTCGTTGCATATGATAAGACGGTGAGGAGCAACTGCTGAATATATAACGGTGGCTTAGGTGGTGTGTACGCCCTTCCTAATGCTGGGGTGCCGAGTTTGATCCCATCTAAGGGCCCTTGTGCTGGTTTTGACAGTGGTATCTAGTAGCCGACCGTCCAGTGATCAATGGCAAACTACTAGACGTAAATTTATCTAGAAAAGCCACAACAGCCAAAAAATTATAGGGTTGGTTCTGCAACGTCCTGTAAAGAATACTCATCTAACCTTTCGACAATAGCAATCTTAGAATACGAACCTTTTCAAACATAATTTGTTAGCAGTCTAAAAACTATTTTAGTCGAAAATGTTAAGTCTAGTAAAAAAAAAAATGTAAAGGTTCCTTTTCAACGCTCTTAGGCGTATAGGGCATATAAGGCTGATCATCATCATCATCATCATGTGCCCTGCCAGCTGGCTTAGGGGCTCAGGCATGTCCACAGATCACGATTCCTGGTTGCTTGGAACAACTCTCTTGATGATATCCCTCCATACCATCGTTTCAGCCCATCCAGCATCATCTCTCTTGGTCTGCCTCTACCCCTTTTCCCACTGATCTTTCCAGTTGTCACGATGTTCTCCAATGTCTCTCTTCTCATTATATGACCAAAGACCAGTGTTTGTTTCTTTCCTATATATAGGGCTAGACCTATATTTTAAAGACCAATCGGCGCTAGATGGGCGATGTGGTCAGCATCACGCCGGCCGCCTTTACTTCCCGGGACTGCACCTGGTACCCACTCAAGGCTGGGTCGAACTGGGAGTCAATATCATTTTTGAAAAAGTCCGGCTCTGCCAGGAAGCGAACCCACATCCTTCCGAACCTCACGCGATCTTCTAGCCGCTACGCAATGGGGACTTCTATAATATGACTAACAATCTGAATATAACTATAATGTTGATGATATTTTTTATAACAATGTTTCAACAATTTTTGAAATACTATCTTTGCATGTGTCGTCATCTGTTCTGATGCGTTGTGAACGCGATTCATAATGCCAAGGTCAAGTACGATGTCAGCTGCAGGCGATTTGGCAGCAGACCGTCTTGCGTTGGTTCCGACTGTGGTACGGAGAGCTGACCGTTTAGTAGCAGTAGAAAAATATTGAACGTAACATTTGCCTACAAAAACCACAGCAGCCAAAAGAACTTTATCGTTGCATACATTATTTTCAGCAATCTGAAAAAAACACGCAAAGCAATGTTTTCTGGAAATACGACCGCTAAAAATGATTCTTAATAATCTGAAAAGTATCACAGTTACACACACACACACACCATATATATATATATATAAATATATATATATATATATATTTATATATATTTATATATATATATATTATATATATATATATATATATATATATATGTATTTCTTCTTTGATTAAAAATTTGTAAATTTTAGTTTTTATTGATAGCAATATGAAAAATACTACAGTTGTATGTTTCCATTTTATTTTTAAACAATCTGACAAATACTGTTTGTCGAATATTTTAATTTTAACGGTTTGAAAGTACTAGAATTAAATAAATTGTTTTTCACAATCTGAAAAACATAATACTACAGTTTAATATATATATATATATATATATATATATATATATATATATATATATATATATATATATATATATATATATATATATACAATTAAAAAATACGCAGTTTAATATATCGTATATCAATAATAACTGTCTGGAAAATATTACAATTGCATCATTTTTTTAAAAGCCTGAACAATTGTTCCCTAAAAAAATATCACCTAAAAATTATCGCAATTAAGCATATTATTTATAACAAGTTGCGTTTTATTATAAAAATTGTGCATGTGTGTGTTTGTGTGAGTGTATGTGTTGGTTAGTTTGGGGGAGCGGGGAGAAGGGCAGGAAATTTTCCCCACCAGTTACCGTTGACATTGCTATGTCAGTGGTCTGCATAGAGTCCCACTAATCTTCTTGTTCGCCTTCACAGGCGGGAAGTTCTGGTTGTTCGTCCTCGTCTGAAATCTAGTTCCTTTCCAGAACCCGAGTGTTGCATGCTCATCCACTTTACAGATCTGGCTTGTTTGTATGCAGACTCTTGGTTCCTTGCCTCTCAACCAGAAGCACTCCGACTTCGAAGAAAGCGCTCAACTACCCGACTCCTACGACATGCTTTTAAGTAGGCAGTGGGTCTATTCTTAAATTTCCCCACAAATGAGACCCGCAACCCACACGAGGAAGTCCTAACAATGATGTCATCGTCTCTCACAGAAAGCAAACACATGAGACATCCCCTCTATGATCATAACAATGAACTCTGAGCTTTTTTAACGCGCTGTTTCTATCATGTTAGTTCAGACATAAGACATTTTCTGATGCAGAACCAGACATGCCAGGGTCAAACAGAAAGTCAAGCCAAAAGAATAGTTACCGTACACTTTTTTATGCGTAGAACCAGCATGATTACCCAACATCTCATTTTCTGCTAATGAAGTTTCCGGCAATTTCAAACTCCGTGGAAATCAAATCCAGTTGCTTGTAGAGACAAGAAAAGGAACATACAGCGAATGCCGAAAGCGGGGGAGGGGGGGTTGGGGGAAGGGGGGGGGGGGGGAGAGACATGTACTTCACACGTTGGGCCGCATAGAGACATGTTCGCTCGGCTAAAGCTTGTTATTACTGTGTAACAAAAGACCTGTTAGAGCGGGGATTAGAGACAGGGTCTTTAGTGACAATGAGACCTATCTGTGAAAAGTGTCGCACTGAAATAATACAATAACTGTCTTTCTTGCCCTCCTCTCCTTGGTTTTCCCTTATTTCTCTCCTCCCCCCCCCCCCCCCCTTGCCCCCAGATTTGTGTGTGTGTGCGTTTGTGTGAATTACTTTTCCTATGTTTTGGCGTGCATTGCTTCTCCTATGTGTTAGTGTAGATAGTTTGTCTTATGTGTGTGTGTGTGTGTGTTTTTTTTTTTTTAATGTGACAATGATCATGTTGTCTACCTCTTCTGCAGATACGGCATGGCAATGGGTGGCATGGGGATGTACCCGGATCAATACGGGGCCATGGCTAGACCGTCCCCATACGGGCCCTACGGTGGGCACCACCCTCACCACCCGGTCAAAGAAATGGTCAAGCCACCGTATTCATACATTGCTTTGATCGCCATGGCGATCCAGTCGGCCCCGGACAGAAAGATCACTCTCAATGGTATTTACCAGTTCATCATGGAGAAGTTTCCCTTCTATAGGGAGAACAAGTAAGTAGTTAGCTTTGATTTACGTTTATGTTTTCTTCTTCTTTTTTCTTCTTCTTCTTCTTCTTCTTCTTCTTCCTCTTCTTCTTCTTCTTCTTCCTCTTCTTCTTCTTCTTCTTCTTCTTCTTCTTCTTCTTCTTCTTCTTCTTCTTCTTCTTCTTCTTCTTCTTCTTCTTCTTCTTCTTCTTCTTCTTCTTCTTCTTCTTCTTCTTCTTCTTCTTTTTCTTCTTCTTCTTCTCTTTCTTCTTCTTCTTCTTCTTCTTCTTCTTCTTTTTCTTCTTCTTCTTCTTCTTCTTCTTCTTCTTCTTCTTTGTCTTCTTCTTCTTCTTCTTCTTCTTTGTCTTCTTCTTCTTCTTCTTCTTCTTCTTTGTCTTCTTCTTCTTCTTCTTCTTCTTCTTTCTTCTTCTTCTTCTTCTTCTTCTTTCTTCTTCTTCTTCTTCTTCTTCTTCTTTGTCGCCATCTTCTCCTTCTTCTTTCTTCTTCTTCTTCTTCTTCTTCTTCTTCTTCTTCTTCTTCTTCTTCTTCTTCTTCTTCTTCTTCTTTGTCGCTATCTTCTCCTTCTTCTTTCTTCTTCTTCTTCTTCTTCTTCTTCTTCTTCTTCTTCTTCTTCCTTCTTCTTCCTTCTTCTTCCTTCTTCTTCTTCTTCTTCTTCTTCTTCTTCTTCTTCTTCTTCTTCTTCTTCTTCTTCTTCTTCTACTACTGCTGCTGCTTTTGCTGCTTAGATTTAAAGTCAGGTTAGAACTTAGTCTGGCACTCCAATGTTACGAACTTTCTGTTTTGCTATTTTTTTTTTCCTAATTCGCCATGGCGCTTGATATGACGAAAATATTTCAGCTTTCGAGACAAGATGCTATTTAAACGAGGTTGAAACAATTTCTTAGACCCACAGAGTTGATTAATCAAGGACGTGTTCGTCAACTCTCTCAGTCCAAAGCAACGCGACAATCGTTAGTTTTGTTCTACATACATTGCACATTTACATTATACATTTTTCTTATCTCACCACCTGAGTTAAAATAGAAGGTCTGAAAGTAATTATACTTCCAATAATATTAAATAGACCTATTTGTAATAAAACATCGAAACTTGCTACGCTTGAAACTAAACCTAGGAAAGTTAATCTATTTTCCGTGTTCCAGGGACATAAATGAGAAAAATGTACAAGCACTAGACCTACAGGAAAAAGATTTTTAGACGGTTTCCCATCAAATTTACCCTCTAGCGACTGTTGCCTTTATGGCCAAAACAGACGTTAAATTTATTCTTAAAAGCGCACCGCGAAAATAATATTACAAGTTATTTCAATATGTGCCATTTTGCAAGAGCCAAAGCAGTTAACCTATTCGCGTTTTATTCACATTGGGTCGTGATTTCGCGCATCCGTTTTTTGGTAATTCTTTACGTTTCCAAGAAAATGGGTTTCCAAGTAGAACTCATTACTACAGAACTTTGTTTATTTTAATAAATTGATTGCAGTAATGGTTGAGAATAATCAATAAATACATGCGATTTACAGGTGTATTTCAATACACATGCGTTTGATCGTTTCATGCGTGCGTGTGCACGTATATGTTGATTGTATAAATGTTGTTTGCATATGTGTATTATGTATTGATTCACAGCAACATATGTTTATAATTTACTAGAATATAGAGAGCACATGTGTTTCTAATGCACAGTCCAGATGTGTTATCAAACAGATCCATCTGGTGTCATTTTTACTAGTTCCGGACATTTACGACAAATCTCGAAATATGACGAGTTCTACAGATGTGGTGTTAAATTCTGGATTTGTGTTTTAGCAATCTTCCTATAGTTGCAATAACGACCATGTGCGGGTTACTAGTTTCGTTATAACATGCTCTAGTATTTCAACAGCCAGTAAATGTAATCGGTATTGTGGTTAGGACGTTAGCAAGTAAAGACTATAGACAGGGTTCACTTTCCAACATAAAATAAAATAACGGACCCTTCTCCAAACCTTCAGGTTACAGGGCATATATGGCTAGACCCACCTTTTATAAACCAATCAGTAGGTGATGTGGTGGTATCATGTCGGCCGCCTTTACTTTCCAAGACGTTACCTGGTACTATTTAAGGCAGGGTCGGTCGACCTGGGGGCCAACATTATTTTAAAAACAATTCCGGTTCCGTCAGCACCCGAACCCACGACTTTCTGATCAACAAGCCAGCGTCTCGGTATTCGGCTTCGTCACGAGCAGAACCTACCACTTTTCGATCCGCAGACGAGTTCTACACTGCAGTGTTTCTAATATACACAGAATTATTGTTTTTCTGTGTAAATAATAATGAAATAGACTTCTTCTTCTTCTTCTTCTTCCTCTTCTTCTTCTTTTCTTCTTCTTCTTCTTCTTCTTCTTCTTCTTCTTCTTCTTCTTTGACGTCGTCGTCGTTGTCGTCGTCTTCTTCTTCTTCTTTGTCGTCGTCGTCTTCTTCTTCTTCTTCTTCTTTTTCTTCTTCTTCTTTGTCATCGTCGTCGTCTTCTTCTTCTTCTTCTTCTTCTTCTTCTTCTTCTTCTTCTTCTTCTTCTTCTTCTTCTTCTTCTTTGTCGTCTTCTTCTTCTTCTTCTTCTTTGTCGTCTTCTTCTTCTTCTTCTTCTTCTTCTTCTTCTTCTTCTTCTTTTCTTCTTCTTCTTCTTCTTCTTCTTCTTCTTCTTCTTCTTCTTCTTCGTTTTCTTCTTTAACGTTCCTAACCCTTGAGGTTCATTGCTGCAGGTATCATGCGCCTCCACTCATCTCTCTGGTTGGCCTTCTCTTTCAAGTTAGTGACACCAAGTGTTTGCTGGTCGGTCTGGACGTTATCTCTCCATCGTTTTCTTGATCTGCCTCGTGGTTTACGACTATTTAGCTCCTTTGTAAATACAGTTTTTACTTCTCTGTCATTTGACATTCTCTCAGTATGCCCCAGCCATTTGGCTCTCATAAAGCCAGTGATCAATAGTTATTTAAATAGATTATGAATTCGTGCTGCAATACAATTGTAACGTACAAGGCCCCTTTGCACGCCTCTATGCGTATAAAACCTAAAGAACTTCATCTACATTTAAAAGACCACTTGGCAATAGGTTTTTGATATGGTCAAAATCACGCCGATCGCCTTTACTTTCCAGGAATTTACCTGGATAATTTAAAGTTTAGTTTCGAAAAAGTTTTGCTTTATCAGGACCTAAATCCACAAGCTACAGATCGTCAGGCTGGCGTCAAGCCGCTACTTCACGACGGCTTCAAAACAACTGTGGGATGTGGTTATACGGTTGAACGTAGAGTGGAACAGGGTTTCATAGATTTGTATCTGCATCTAAGAATGCTTAGAATTCCTTAGACAGCCAAAAAGAGCAACAAACAGGTTTTGAAAGAGGCTGCAGCCCGAAGACAACTTATCACAGACATCAAAAGGAGACAGTCATCCTTTTTCGGCCATGTTATGAGAAGAGAGATAATAGAACATGTTGTGACCACTGGAAAGATCTGTAGAAAGAGCGATAGAGCAAGACAACGAGAGAAGATGCTTGACAGTCTTGTTGCATGGCATGGAAGTGTGTCGGCACACGAACTGATACATGCTACAGGAGATGGCAGATTATCAAGAGGCATGATCGCCCACGCCAGTCGGCAAGGCACCTGATGATGATGATGATGTACCTGCATGGTTCTCAACCTTGAGATGGTAATCCCAGCGACTGTTCCTATAAGCGAGACAACTATTTTAAAATAATTTCTAAATCGGCTTTGGGTGGGAGGTGTGGTCAAAATCACGCCGACTGCCTTTATTTCCCGTGGCATTACCTTGTACACATATTAGGCTGGGTCGACCCGGCTAGTAAGGTCAATTATGAAAAGATCTACATATGCATGTGTATGTATATATATGTGTGTGTGTGTGTGTAAGTCCAAGTCCTTTTGATACAAAATGAAAAGGTCGACCACTTTCAGACTGCTGCTAGCTAGCCGAGGCTGCTAACAGTCTCCGCCTATATTTGTGGTCTGGGTTATTTGCGTCACTTTCGTGACTAAATTCGAGTATCTGTGTCATCTCTGGGCTTGATGCTTCCATCCGATTCAGACCGCTCGTCCTCCACCCTGTTGTTACTTGTGCATGTCTTTCCTCTTCTTTCTTGGTGTATCCTGTTTGTTTTGTCACCCTTCGATTTGGCCAGGCGGTGTGTGTGTGTCTGTGTGTGAATATATGCAGTCGTGATGTGGATGGAACCTAATACTTTCTCGTAGGCCCTTTGAGTAGGTTTTTAACTCTAAATTTCGCCCGGGCAGCCCCGTCACGGGTGTCTAGACTTACTACACAGAGACCAGAAGAAATTACTAGAAGTCCACGTGAAAAAATCCCTGCCTTCACAGGGGCTGGAATACCAATTGTGGTGTTGCGTTTAGAGTCATTTCTATTAGTGTCCTGAGAATGTCCGGTATTGCAATGCTTTGGTCTTTTCTTGACCGATTCATCGTTAATATTGTCACCCCTCTCCTCTCTTCTTCTCCTCATAAAGTGTTACCACGGTGATGTAATCTTACTGCAAAGGGATGGATGATTTTGGCACAGATTCTGATTTATTTTTATGGGGGGGGGGTGGGGAGGGTGTGCCCGGCTGGCCAGCTCTGCTGATTAAACCTGACTATGCGGCGACCGGGTGACGAACTCCTTGCGGTCCGGGTTCACGCCCTGGAGTAGGCAGAAAAAGCCATATTTTCTCCCAGATATACGGTATCTATCATAAATTTAAGGCCAAAGGGTTGCGATATCAATAGTACCAAGCCAAAGGGTTAACAACTCATAGTTTCTGGATATCCAAACAAATTCATACGGAGAGGATTTTCTCATACAATATGATGTTTGTTTTAAAGCACAGCGAATATTTCGTTGCATATGGTAATTTAAGAGCGGTTCTTATTTTTTTTTTTTTTTTGTATATGCCTATGGCTCTTAGGTTGACCCAGCCTGGAGTAGGTACCAGGTACAGTCCTGAGAAGTAA